TGAATAGACAGCCAGCCGCAAAGATATCGCGGTGGTGTATCTTGAGAGTAGACCAGGAGCTGCCTCAGTCTCGTCATTGAAGCTCCCAAGGGATACTTCAACAGTTCCTTTGTTGCTGTTGACTGAAATTGGTGATGTCGCCAGGCTAAAGGTATCGAGGAGCGGGGTCGAGGACGCGTTGGTCTCCGCAAGAGTAGAAAGGCGGTAAAGGTATATGAAACGATCTTGACAAGGGCGGGTATTGGCGAAGACGTCTAGGCTCGAAACCCATGGAAATAATTTCCAGTGTGATGTCGAAGCCCAGCCCATTGAAAGCACAGACAAAGCTTGCACAGGGCAGGCAGCCTCCTGTCGCCTTCCTCCTCCGTAGGTCTGGTGATAGGCTTGTGGAGGATCCAAACTCTGTACTTCAAGTCCTGCTGTTGGGTCTGGCCTCGCTTGATACCCAAGGCTAGTTGTGACAGTAGTTGTTGCCTCAATGGATGGCAGTATTGATGCCAGCTTGGTCCTTTGGTTCCACTTCCTCCTCCCCTCCCCGACGTTGATGTGATGGATGCTGATATCGGGGAGCAATGGTGAGATGGAGCAGCCATTGCATCCACATCATCTCAAAACACCAGACCTGGGACTTGGTGACACAGGTCCTTTGGCAGTGCAATATTGCATCTGAAGCATGGGAGCGATTCACCCCGCATGAACAGAACAAGGGACAGATTGCCTTTTGTTCCAATGACGTACTGACGTGCGGCAGCAACCACAAGCCAACCGATGAACACCACACATGACAGCAACAATCAGATGAGTTCGTCATGTTGAAGTCCTGTCTGTTCTCAAGTGAAGAAGATGCACCCCATGTCTCGGGGTCGGGCCGGTTGCATGTACCAAGTAACGGCTGCGGGCTGCGGCACTAGCCGGGGAACCAACTTCACAGCTGTCTGCTGTGCAGCCGCCATGACACCTTCCAGTCCCATCCCTAGCAGCCCAATATTGGAGATGGATAAGGAGAAAAGCAGACAGGGATGGGGGAGAAGACAAGGAAGGGTAAAAAGCAAAAGCAAAAAGCAAAAGGACAAACGAAAAGGTGGAAGTAACTCACATTCCTGAGAAGAGGTTCGACATGGCAAGAGAGACGTCCCGCGGTGAGGGGGAGGCGGAGGGGGGGTTATATGGCTGGGTCGACCGGCACACCTCCTGGGAGGGTTGTACTCTGTAGGGGCTGGGGAAATAGGTTCTCAGGGCTGATGATTCAAAATTCAGACCGTTTGACAATGGAAAAGTGGTCGGATATCAAGCAAGGAGAGAGGGTTAAGCTGAAAAGGGGCGGTTGAAGGTGAGCTTCTTCGGACTACGTTCGCTCCTGCATCCAAACAGGAGTAGCAGCATGAGGGACGCTAGACTTGAAATGTTACATTAAGCGAGCGCACGGGCCGTCTCCTCCACAGCCTTGGGTCTCCATGCTGCTTGACTCTGTCGCCATTGGACTGCCGCTAGGCGGAAATAAGGGTCCTCTTCAGCCTCGTGTGGCGTCTGGGAGGTTGGGGCGAACAGACGGTGTAGCTTTTGATCATCTAAAAGCTCCTCTAAAGTCAGGGGAAATCGCCCAGATCATCTGCAATTACAAATTGCCTCCACTGACGCCAAGTACCCTCTGCCACTGCCGTATCCTGTCGGCATAAATCTGCCAAAGCATAAACCTGCCAGACCGGGACTCGGTGCCGAGACGGGGATCTCCCATCAAATCGGTTGTTCTTGCCTCCGGCATCCGGAGTAGGTGTCCTGAGGTCGGGTGTGGCGGTGCTTCTTCACCAGCCTCACATACATTCACCACACGCGCTGGCCTGGCAGTCACCAAGAAGCTCAATTGAGTGGGTCAAATTTTCGAGCAGGGATCCCGCAAGCCTCGCCGTAGCGTCTGCTTCCAGCAAAGGAGCTACACGTCTATTCGCAACAACCTCAATTTTTGCCATCACGCCCACATCCATAACCAACCTAGTCGAAATCACCCGTCAACATGTCTGACTCTGAGGAATTGGTCGAGCTCCCCGAGGAGGAGGAGGAGGACCTCTTTGGCGACGAGGCGGCCGACGAGCTTCCCGAGGACCGCAGTCGCGCTGGCAGCGAACGCGCCGCATCGGATGGACTCGCGGCAGACGAGGACGAGGAGAGGTATGATGCAGGCCCGACATCAACGGACTATGAGACGAAAGTTATCGAGGCTGTGGAGATGCAGCGCCATCGCATTCCCAAGGCGAAGGAGCAGAGAGTGAGTTGACGCGACGATCCTGCTCTTTGCGACATGCGCTTACCCCGTCCAGCTGGGATCTCTTCGCGTTCCCAAGTTTTTCAGATTCATCCCCACGATCTACGACCCCGACACCTTCGAGCCCACCGAGGAGGATATCGAGAACGCCAAGGCCGACACGCCGAAGCACGATATCCGCGTGCGCAGACACGGCAACAAGCTGCAGAGCAACGCCATGATTCACAGATGGAGCGACGGTTCAGTGACCATAACCGTCGGCGACGAGCACTTGGAGGTCACCACGAAGGCCCTGGCACCGGGCCCCGAGCAGCCGTACTCGGACCTCCAGGACGGTCACTACTACGCGGCCGCAGCTGAATACTCCAGCAACTTCCTCATGTTCGTTGGCCACGTTACAGACCAGTTCATAGTACGTCCTGGAAAGGAGGTCCAGGACGACGCACTTGCTGCCCTCGCGGAGCGCATGGCCACAGTCACGCAGAAGCCCCAGGAGAAGGACATGATCATCAACACCATCCAGGACCCCGAGCTCAGGAAACGACAGGCCGAACAGGCGGAGAAGGAGCGCATGAAGGCGCAACGTCGTCGCGAGACGGCGGCTGCCAAGTTGACAGACTCCAGCAGGGGTTACGGCCGCGGGGGCGGTCTTTCCATTGGAGACCTGGAAGGACGCCGCGGTGCCGGCCGTAAGAGGCCTGGCGCACCGAAGCAGAAGAGGAGACGTCCCGAATACGACTCCGATGATGATCTTCCCTCGGGCGCGCGCAGGCAGGATGACTATGACATGGAGGACGACTTCATTGTTGGTAGCGACGACGAAATCAGCGAGGGTCCGGATGACGATAACGAAGAAATCCTGGACGACGACGATGAGGACGAGAGGCCGCGATCCAAGAAGCGACAGAAGATGTCTGACGACGAAGATGCCGATGGCGACGAGGACGATATGATGGAGCCGAGCGGCAGAGGCAGACGTCGTCATGTCGTGGACGACGATGATTCGGAGTAAGGGGGTTTCAACTGGACAGCCACATCACCAAAAGAAGACGGCGCATTTGCCATTTGTATAATATCAGAAGTTTCTTACAAGCATGATGGGCGAGACGGGCAGCCCATAGACACTGAAAACAAAATGCACGATATCCCACGTTTTGTCCCTCAATCCCTCATGCAACGCCAACTTCAAGTGCCGTGAGGTCTAAATGATGAGCTCACCAGCCGCTGTTTGAAAAGGGACACGCTGCTAGATGCGGCTAGTCTTGGTTCTGGCGTCGCCAACGGTGGAACACGTGCTGCAATGGGCGAAATTCTTTGTCATGGGCGGAAATAGGCCGTTATCGGTGCGATTGACTTTGTTGGGGGCTCACCAGCATTGGCACTCTAGAACGGTGGCTCGCAGCGACTCAGTCCAACACATGAAGAGAGTTTCGTGGAACGGAACGGCGGATAAGGCGTTGCTGTGGAATAAGGTGCGACGGAATGGTCTTGCAGCGGGCGAAGTTGACGACGGGAAAAAGGCATTGTCACATGTCGACAGCTAGCGCCAAGCACCACCAGCGAAGACAGTGATTGACTACGTACTGGGCGGGCAGTTGGCCAGCAGTGGTGGGCATGCTGCAAAATGGATGGATGGATGGCATGGGACGGCATAACCAAGCACCACAGCCAAGCACTGGACTGGACACAGGTCGCTGAGGGAGCTGCTCGTCCGGCCCCCAACCCTCCACCAGCAGCTCGGGATGCTACACGACCTGACGCTGTGTGTAGGTGGTTGTGTGGGGTTGGGGGTCTCGTGGTCTGCTGCAAAGAAGCAATGGGCAAGAGCACCTGATGCTATCCGCTACAGTCCGCCCCCCGGGCAATCCAATGCGCTCCAATGGAGCCTGACGTCTGCTTCCCCAGAGTCTCCAGACCACAGACATTGGCTGGGATGCGCACTGCGGATGCGGGAGCCACGGCAAACCCGGGCTTTGCATGCGCTTGCTGCTGCCGCCCTTGTCCATTTCGTACCTTGAGTAAGGTAACCTCCGGTACTGTTCCAGTGTTTCTTCAATTTTTTTGAGCCGAGCCAAACCACTCTTACACGCCACGGACTTGACAGACGGGTAGCTCGCGAGGAAGGTCGAGGTAGGTTAGCACCGAACAAATGACCCAACGTACCTACCTGGCCTGAGCTGGCCTGGTCTGACTTGCCTGACCTGACTCTCTTTTTGTTTCCAGCCTTGGGAAGGAACCAGGGAGAAGAGAGCAAAAAATAAAAAAGAACACACGGGCTTCAAGTAGCACCAGGGATCGTACAAGGCTCCCAGTGCCTCCAGTCCGTCTACCTACTTCATCTACCTAGCGCCCATCGTACGCCCGCTCGCTCGTCCTCCACGCTCCTTGATTACCTTTTAGTCTTCCTATTCCCTTTTCAAGACTTCTCTGCAGACGGTCCAAGACATTCTGTTATCTTCATCTCTCCCCCTATCACGGTGTCCTCTGTCGCTCGACGAATACTGCCTGCCATCCCACCTGTCTCTCCCGTTCAACGCACCATCCTGACCCGACCTCGGTATTGGAATGCAATCACCCGCCTAGTCGAGACACGACGCTCGCCACGCTCCACCCGACCATTATGCCATAATGCCATGACCACCTCTCATAACTTATCACTATCCTCATTAGCATTGCTTTCCCCCGCCAGTTTGGGATTCTCCATGGTCTACACCGTTCGAGTCGCCGCCGTCGCGCAACCATGGGGGTAGTCGTCGCGCTCTGGCAAGTAGCCGTAGACGTCACGCAGTTCTGGAATAAGGTACGTGGCATACTCAACAACTCTTCCTGACGCTGGTCGTTGCTACCGCCGCAGCAGCAGCTTCTGCGGCTGCCTGTCGGCCGAACGCCGAAACCTGGGACGAGCCGCGGCTGACCTTTGATGCGTCGTTGCGCACATGCAGAAGCTCCGCGATTGGTACACCCGCAAGACCCCCGTCGAACTATGGCTGGAGCTCCTCCGCCATGCCGAAGCATTCGAGGATTGGGAAGAGGCCGCCCTGCACCTCGACAACCTGCTTGGATTGGACTTGTGGTAAGGAGCTGTAGCTTCCAGCTTTCGTGTCTCAGATGCACATGCTAAAGCTGTTCCGGCGCAACAGGAGAAATAACCCAACGTCAAAATACTACGATTACCGTCTGATCAACGAGCGTCTCAACTCTCTAATCACTGCCAGGGAGGATGGCAACCTTAATGCGCTGGTCAACCTCCTTCGCTCCGGCCTGGTGCGGAATCTGGGCAACATCACCTCGCCCACCCTGTATAACCGATCCTTCGCCGGCACCAAGTACCTGATCGAAGAGTACATCACCCAAATCGCCGAGGCGGTCGAAGATATCACTCATTTGCCGACCACCCCGCCCTCCGACGGCAATGGCGCCCCCATCGGGTTGACAAACCAGATGAAGTTGGATTTCATCCACGATACTAGACAAGCTTTTGGCAGGAGCACCCTCGTCCTGCAAGGCGGTGCGATATTCGGAGTTTGTCATTTGGGAGTTGTGAAAGCGCTGTTTCTTCGCGGTTTGTTGCCGCGCATTATTACTGGTACTGCTACGGGCGCCCTGATCGCAGCTCTGGTCGCCATTCACACCGAAGAGGAACTTCCCCACGTGCTCAAAGGAGAGGGCATCGACTTGTCCGCCTTTTCTGGAAAGGCAAAGTCTGAGAAGGGGCCGCCAAAGGAACAGTCTTATGCAACGAGGTGGAACACCCTGTTAAGACGGATTAGGAGGTTCTCTCGGGAGGGTTACTTCCTCGACGTTAAAGTTCTTGAGGAGTGTGTGCGAGCTAACGTCGGCGACTTGACGTTCGAGGAGGCGTATAACCGGAGCAAGAGAGTACTCAATATTACAGTTGCAACGGCTGGACAGGGCGGCGTGCCAACGCTGCTCAACTACCTGACAGCACCGAATGTGGTCAGTAGACATTGCTGCTCAGACACTGAATCAGGACTAACACTTGTGCAGCTTATCTGGACCGCGGCAGTGGCATCCAATGCCTCCTCGGCTAGCCTGTACGGCCACAGAGAGACAACAGTTCTCTGCAAAGACGCACACGGAGACATTGTGCCATGGGCACCCGCAAATACGATCGACTTCCGACATTGGACCCATGTATCATATTCCGATCGAGAGTCGCCGCTTCTTCGAATTGCCGAACTGTTCAACGTAAATCACTTTATCGTCAGCCAAGCCAGGCCTTATCTCATTCCCTTTTTGCAAAGCGACATGCATGGTCCGTCGCTCATGGAAACACGTAACAGCACGACCTCGATAACGGCCTTTATGGTCCGTATGGTCGGCCTAGAACTCAGACATCGCTTACGACAGCTCGACACACTGCACCTGCTGCCCGCAGGTATCCGCCGCTTCCTCGTCGACGAGAGGGTGCCAGGAGCGTCCATGACGTTGGTGCCAGAGGTGACCGCTGGGGACTTTGTACGCCTGCTCGAGACACCCACGCGAGAGACGCTAGATTATTGGATTTCGCGGGGCGAGCGAAGTGTTTGGCCCGCGGTCGCTGCGCTGCGTATTCGTTGCGCAGTCGAAAACGAATTAGACAGGTCATACCAGACTGTCCGAAGATTCAAGGCTGGCGGTCTGCGGAGGAAAGGTTCAACAGCGGCGGCGGCGGCGGTGGCAGCAGCAACGGTGGTAGGAGGGGCGTCCACGCTTGAGAAGGATAGGAGATCAAGCAGCGTCGGGGCCGCATACTGATGGTGTCAAAGAGTGAAAGAATGTAAGAAACCGTCATCCAGCCAAGCACAGCAAGGGTGATACGCAGCCCAGGTTTCGGATGCCGTCCTGGCGCATGCGACGGATGGCTGAGGCGCATCCTCACCTCATGGACGCGGCGTTTGGGGGCGGCACATGTACAGATACAAATCATCGTGGCTGACCAGGGGCATAATGGGTATGCATGGAACACTGAAAGAACGGCGCGGCGTTGGAGGCGTGGAGGCGTGGAGGCCACAGGGGTGGACATGCACAAGACATGTCAGCAGACGAAGGAAACAAGATATTCTCGAAGACTACCTCTTTCGAACGGTCGGTCAGGGAAGAGTCGATCAGGCTGAGAGGGACGGTGTGCTGCAGCAGGATGTTCAGCTGTGCTGGGTCGTGTTGGGTCTCAAGCCTCTCTTCCAGAAAGCTGCATGTAAGCGGCGGGATGAACTATCCGTAGGAAGCATGTACGTTCCAAAAGACGCGTCTCCAATGACGAGGCGGATGACCATTGCAAAAAATGAAGAAGCCTTGGCGTCAAACCCAACTTGGATACCGATCGGTGAAGGGGAGGTGTGCTCTGTGTTGTTGTTTTGCTTCTAGAAGAATGCCTTGCCGCTAGAACACACCTTGCCGCGCACCCGCGCGCGCACAACAAGCTTCGACATGCCTGCATGCTCATTTATCCCTCATACTCAAACAATCTACCTGCCCATCTCTTGACGCCTCCGTACGCCTCGTCAAGCGGCCCGGATTGCTCCCCAAGACTTCCCCGGGGCGAACCCTGCGTCAGGAAGGCTGGCTTCACACCACCTTCGTCGGCGAGAAAGGAGGCACGGGCAGTGAATGATGTGAGAGGACGGGGAAGAGAGGAAGACATGCATGTTCTGTCTGGGGTGCCCGCACAGATGCAAGGGGATCTACGACGTGACGGCGCTAGAACACTTCTCGAAGGCCACGGGATCGCTTCCATTGGGACGGGGGGAGGGGCTCAGCGTCCTTGCCCGCTCACAAAGTGGGGGCTTTGGCTTGCGAAGGATTCACACTGGAACTGCGGTGCTGCGTGAATACATCATCGTTCGTATTATCTGGGCCTGTGGATGTTGTTTCCGCAGCTTCGAGAAGGCAGTATTTCCCGCATATTGTTCGGCCACGAGAAGGGATGGTTCGATGATGGATCTTGGAGATTGCGATGAGGGGGTTGCCTGGTTCGATTGCCTCGAGGCGATTCGCGACTTTGCGATATGTGATGCGTTGTTTTCTTTCGGAGGTCCATCGCCGGGGAAGAGTTCCGGGGCTGGGCAAGATCATGTGTCTCAATTGCGACCTCGATGGCCAGGGGGCTGCGGTGTTTTAACGGCATGCGTTTCCTACCAGGGTCGTGTCCTGGTTGGACCGTTGTTCGAGTTTCCTCGTTGGATTGTTTGGAGGGTGACATGCGCCCGTCCTCTTGCTTCCTTGGTTGACATGATCTAAGACCTGCGTCGGGATAGGACGATGGTAGGACTGTAGTCGCACTTGGGGCCCTACTGGATGGTTGGGGAGCATGGCGAAAATGCCCGCCCCGGATGGCTCCCCAACCCCAGTTCCTAGGACGTGTTGTTGCCCGAGAATTGTGGTGCTCGGAGCAGCGTCCGCTAGTGTTTTCGGTGCAAGCCGGGCGTTTTATTGAATCAGATGACAGGAGAGCGGTATCGAAGATCTTTCCCTCGGTTGCCAATATGTCGAACCCGTGCTTCTTCCTCATCAGGCTGTGGTGCTACTTGACGAAATCTGTACAATGATGCACCATTGGGGAACAGAGGATTCGGGGGTATATTTCCCTGTGATAACGGTTCTTGGGTTCGTAAGCATGCAGGACGCCGCTGTGCGGAGCTCGGGGTCGCCGCTGCAGTGTAGGGCTGCGGGGAAGCAAGACCGGCGCCGGTATGATGCATTGAGGCCATGGGGAGCGTCCAGCCTATCAGTCGACGTTGAACTGATTTGAATTTAATGCTCGAGATTGAAGACGTGAAGACGTCGTGATTATGTTGTCCGCGTCACATAGGCCAGGGTCTGATCTGCGGCAGTTGGAAGATCAGTGCCGTTCAATTGGGCTGTTCTCTGAACCCTGGCCTGTCATCATCCAGATGACTTGACAACTTGCCCAATGGACAGCTTTTCTGCGGTGCACCTTACTGCGTATGGTTGAATGACAAATATCCTAGGCTCTTGTAACAACCAGATCGGGGTCCGAATATTGGGAGTTGAACATGCTCATGTGGACCGCTCAAGTTGGCTGAAGCCACCGACTGTATTTGTTTCGGGCACCGTTGGCTATCCGATCGGCGTGGACCTCCGATATGGGGAGGACTTGAAGCCAAACGTTGGTGAGTACGCGCGTGGTCGTCAAGCCATCGCATGGCATTGGCAACAACGTGGAATAAGGTGAGTGAGTCACTGGTGACCCCAGATGAAGACGGCAATGCCAGGCGCGACGGTGGTCAAGTCGATGAGCTGGCCGCCGGCGTGTTTCATGCCGACAAGCAGCGATTCCGGATTCGTCGTTGAAACAGCTAGGATGGTAGAGATAGGAGAGCGCCGGTGTTGAAGATAGGTGCGATAAAGCATGCCTTCGGTGTAGGAGACAACCGATAGTAGCCGTTGACTCCGCAGGGCCAACCTCGTCGATCACCTCGGCCGTCCAACTCGAACAGGAGAATCCCAATGGCATCGAGAGTCTCCGAAGACGGCGTGCTGGGAGCTTGAAAATGCACAACATGAAATCAAATAAGCAGCGGGATGGCGTCAAGTGAGCATGTGCCGTGGTTGTGTGGGTTGCACAGCCGAAGGGAGCTCAGGGCCTCGAGGAAGCTGATTCGAGAGACCTCTAGTTTCAAGGCTTGTATTGCTGTCCAAAATTTTGGAATGGAGGGTAGTTAGTGGTCAATGTTTGTTGGTGTGTTCAGCAACTCGGTGAACGAGCCCGAGAAGAGGACCATCGCGATGACGGTGATGATGATCATGAACGCAATGTGACCAAAGCATTGGGCCGGCATCAAGTGCATGCTTGCTCAGAAGCCGAGCTTGTCAATGGTTGGCGGTGCTGGAGGTATTAGAGCAGTGGGGGCAGTGACATACCGCACCCGTCGTAGAATTTGGTACACACAGTACTTTTTAGCTGCAGATTTGCAGGGGGCGCAGCGCATCGATGTAAATAAGTTGACTTGGGATGATGTACCGTTAGACTTCAGAACACGATGCTCTACAGACGCAGCTGTCGCCTCGAAGTCTAACTGAAGTCTAACAGACGGCTGGTAAATGCGAATGCTATTGCGTCAATGGAATCCCTGTAAGGCCAATGGCGCGAATTGGAACTTGGGCTATGAATCGTCCGCGGTTTCCTTGACAGTTGTAGCGTTGTCTTAGCAGCTGAGACACTGCGAAGTTGATCGTTGGGTGGATGTGACCTTGATTTCGGAGGAAACAAAACGAGTCGACGCGATGGCATTAGCCAGGAGTACGAACACCAGAGAAGGAGGGCCCGGTCGAGATACTCGGGGAAACATGGCAAGACGAAAAGTGAGGCTTGTGTGAGGGACCTGGGGGAAGAAAGGGGTGGTGAAAGTGGACGAAGGGAGGGGGAAAAGAACGCGGTGCGAAGAGACTGGACGGCGCGCCGACCTGGGGCCAAAAGCCGGAGCAGTAGCTGGCAAGGGGATCAAAATGCCTTGCCGTGAGCCAAGCCAAGTCGGCGGACATCTTGTGTCCGCGCGGATTAGCGAGCGGAAGTTTTGGCAGCTGCATTCTGGTCATGGGCGAAGGTGGACGAATATGCGACTTCATCGAGGCGAGTGTGTGTATTCGTACTGCCGAGGCAGGTACAGACCCGGGAAGGGAAACAGACAGAACTAAGTGCACAGTCAGGACCATTGGGATTCGTGTACCTGCTGCTGAAGTACCGGAGGTATTCCCTCCCAAACTTCAGGGGGAGGGAAAGAGCTGAGCAATAGTTAAGGTGAGGTACGTTATTTGAAAAAGAGAAAGGGAAGATAGACACTCGAAAGGACTTCGCAGAGGATCCCCACACGCCTCACCTCAATTGCTGTGCTGTCTCGGCGGTTACTCCGCACAGCCGACCCACCTGGAAGCCGCGCAGTAAGTGCAGTGGACAGGTACAGGTACCTGCCCATGCCCAGTCACCATCCCTGCTCGCAGTGCAGCAGCTGCTCTGCATGCCACTGCCGCCCATCTCTGCAGCACCTTCTACTACCGCAGACGCGCACAGCCATGCAAGTTCCTGAACCAATCTTTGCGAGGAACGTACCTACCTAAGGTGTGTGGTCGAAAAGAGACGACAGCAGATGGTAAACGTCCGGGATGGCTGGCTCCCCTTCCGTCACCACACACCCTACACGCCGATGCATCTTCAGCCAACATACATATAGAGAACTGCTTTCCTCGTCGTTCACTCCTCCTCGATTCCTCTTCCCCCAAGATACAAATTTACTATTATATTAAACTGATACCCCTTCCCATTAGTCTTATAGACGTTTGTAAAAGGCCATCCTGGAACGGATAGCACCCTCTGGCCTTCCTCAAAAGAGAGCCATCTCCCTCGAGCAACTGTTGTCCTCGAACCACTTGCTTGTCCGACCCGTCACCACTCATCTCACTCTTTCCCTCTCAAGAAAGCATATTGCCCACTTGGGACACTCCGCAGAGACTCTGGTAAGTCGACACCGTTACCTCTTGCCCTTGACCGGAACTAACATTCTACCCTTCAGCAGCAACCCTCATCCAGCATCACTCGACGGCTGGACTCTAGACCATCCCGATAATACGTCCTTCTCCTCAAGACACACAACACACAAAGTTCAATATGGATCGCCGAGAAGGTCACAAGCACACGCACATTCCCTTCCACGTCGCCATCGACGAGTTCAAGAACGAAAGCCGCTTCGAGGAGGCCCGCAGTCCGCAAAGACTTGACTCGAACGAGTCATCCTCCACCA